AGGTTCATACTTTCCACACCGGGAGAGTAGAAATCGCTTGAGTGTCTCTGTTCTGGCTGTGGGGTCTACTGAATTCTTTCGAGCTGTTGGCATACGGGCGACAGACAGACAGGCTCTCCAAACAGAAGCGGTTTAGAGTTTAGGGGGGCTTAGGGTTTAGGGTTTTGGGGTTTTCGCCACAAGGCCGTTTTGGTGTGTCACTGTTGATCTCTTTGATGCAGGCACTCAACACTAAACCTTGCCTAAATTACACTCATGGTGCAGCATGAAGCGTGCTTCCGCACCTCTACCAGAGTGGTCGCGGAGCCGACTTCGGGGGGATGGTGCTACTACAGGGCATTGAGTCTAGGCCTTAGGCGAGTGCTTGGGTCCGAGGCTCCAGGGCGCAGTAAGACTTAGGGTTTGGGGTTTAGGGTTTATCGCCATGAGGCTCCATTGGGCTCTGGATCAAATAATAAAGAAGCGTCGGCGCATGCATGCAAGGAGCGGCGTTCGTTTTACCCAAGCAAGGGTGCCAATCAAAAACGGATGATCGTAAGGATCCTATCGCAACGTATCTGCCTAGGGTTGGCTTAAATGTGGCATCAAGCAATCTTAGTCATAATCCACCAGCCCTGTTCTCCAGGGTCGCCACTCCAGGAATTCACATAGCCTAACCAATGACTTGTCATGTACGTATACCGGCTAGGCCATCGCATCGAGACAAAGCGATAGGTGCCGTCCTTGAGTGGGTTTTTCTGGATGTTCCAGTAACACCGAGGACCAGGACTACCGAGAAACCACTGCACGGCGGCTCTGCTGTCCATGCCAATGTAATGTCCATCCCACCTTAGTTGGCCAAACAACTATGGACAACTTTAAGCCTTTTTTCTCGATCACGTTTAACAAACCAAAAAGTTTACAACTTACCAATTGGCTACAAAGAAACGACAAGAGCCAATAGCCCGGGTTGTTCGGCACTTTCTGAAGTGTAATTTTGCAGCAAGGAGGGAGCTCCGCATGCTCGCGCCGACAGAATCCGCCCACTCGCTTAAAATCATCATCGCTTTCCACGCACAGGTAGCAGTCCGGCCACTTCGACGTAGACAAGCTGTAGGTGCCTTCGCAGAAGAGATCGGGGACTGTGGGAGGGGCAGAGGCTTTTGCAGCTAGCTTTTCCCACGCCGTCATTCGGTCACGGATATCCTTTTTCAAGAAGTCCTTGATGGGATGGAACTCTTGGTAATTGATGCACCTCCATCCCTTTGAATTCCCACGGTGCTGCTCCAAGCCCTGGGGATCTGAACAACCTACGCCTCCAATCGACTCCCATGTACTCATCTCTTTGCTGTGGCTTGAGGCAAACTCTTTGCAAGTGTAAGTCTGATAATGCCCCCCACCTTCAAAGTTCACAATACAATCGTTGGAACCTTTCATGGCACTCTTTATCGCCTCCTTAGCAGCTTCCATCTGCTGAGCTTGTTCGCATTGCATTGTTTTTGAGGCATGCAAGGAGAGGCCTATCATGACCTTCGAGGCCACGATTTCTCCCCACTCCGCGTACTTCTGCGTGAGTTTGTCTTCATAGTCCTTTAAGTGCTCCTCACCAAGTGGAATTGTCATGAGCGTTCGAAAGCTCTTGTCAAGATCTGGCTCAACTCGGAACTTGTCATTTTCGTCTACATCAACAGGGACATTTATCCCGGGACGAAAGTACAAGGTACCGATTTTCAGCAGATACCTCACTGTCTGTGTCATCTGCATCCCCATCTTGACAGTTTGGGTCTCTGTCTGCCGCTTGTAGTCGACGTTTGCACTCATGAATGGGCATGACACTTTTGCGAAGGCTCCGAAGTCACACTTTTCCGCGTGCTTGTTGAAGTTCCTATCGAAGCTGAGGCCGGAAGAATACTCGGCAGACCCCTGGCTGACCTGCAAGAGGTTGCGAATCGCTTCTGCGTTGTTTGGTGGGACAAGAATACTCTTGCCGGGAGTCTCCAGCTCGCGCATGGTCATTGCTTTCAGCACATTGCAATTCCTGAAGACTGTCATCCATTCTTGGGTTGTAAGCATGTCGAAAGCAGGCGGCTCGCCCGGCTTGACAACCGCTTCTCCAAGAGGTGTGACTTTCCCAATCTGACTAAGATGATCATCTAATTTGCCTGGCTCCGGGTAACCTCCTGGAGGCAGGTCAGGATAAGGGAGTGTAGCCTTCTGCTTCGCCATCTTCATCAATTGCACAACAAGCCCCTTTGGAAGTTTGACTTCGTCGACAAGCCAGCTCTGTTCCGATTGCTCGATCACACTCCAGCTCGCGGCGCACTTTTCCTCCAAGGCTTTCACATAGCCTTTTGCTGTCCCTTCGCTTTGGGAGTTTTGATTCACGACTATGTCATGAATGGCATCCTTCACTGACTGCGGCATGGCAGAGGCCTAGGTTTTGCAGATAAACCAAGAACCACTTTCTTTTCTTAATGAGCGGAGCCCTGTGCATGTCACATATCACAGGGTCCTTGTGTGACCCCCTTCTCCCCTGACCCCGCTACTCTAAGATATCTCTATATCGCTC